AAACGAACCCGGTCCGTCGCTCGCCCGTCGCGGTCTCATGGACTCGCGTCGGCTAGCGGAGCCGACGCGCTCCAATAATTCAAATATTTGTTTGTGTATTTTCATTCTCATCAACATCATTATCAATGTTAATATTGTTGTCATTATTATTATTAAGATCATTATTTTATTAATATTTTCTAATTATTTCTATTACTTTACACATTATTATTATTAATAATAGTACTATAGTTTGTTTGGACCAGCTTGCTGTTATGCATTGTTGTAGGTCAACAATCAGATACCTACCACTTCAATGTAAATACTCGAACGGATTTGGTTTAGCTTACAATAAAAGAAAACCAACAAAACTAACACATTCTTATGTTAGGCCCTAGATTGCCACCTGCCTCATCCTAATGACACCATTAACATCTATTATGCCTATTGCTTATAATTATATTGTTCTTGTAGGCCTAAGTATCTGGAAGACGCGAGTCATTGACAAAGAATGTTAAAGGCGATTAATTACCGATTAGTACTAGTAGGCATATAGCAGAACATGCAGATATTGAGGCACACGCTTATATAAAATACCGATAATGTTGACATGAACGCATTTTTATGGCACGTATCTTTGATGCAGTTATAGAAGCTGATACAAGTACAGCTCATTCAGACAGCGTCCCTACATTTGAAGCACAGGGCCGCTCTGAATGTGTTGTACCGATCATAGCATAGGCCTATTATTATACTAAACTTCAATAATGAAATATTTGAATTGGTAAATTTGTATAATAGAATTCAGTTCAGCTCTTTTTTTTTTAAAGGAAAACATATTTCCAATCGGGTCCTACATATAAAACCAATTATAAACATGAAATGTATACAACGACTAAATATGGTAAAAATTCAATATGTAAAATACAGATATCAAAGGCATAAAAAAGTAAAAATAAAAACGCGAAAAACATTATAAGGGGGAGAAGCAATTTCGTGAAGGGGACCGATACAGTAAAAGGGATTTCATAATAAAACAACAATGAAATAAATAATTAAAAAAATTGGGGTATAAAGACAATATAAAAGTGGTAAAAGACATAAATCAGTGGATTCCAGAATCAAGGAGAATTTTCAGTGGTTCGAGACTCAGAAACAAGGTGTTGTTTAGTAGCAATTAATAAAGATTTATAGACCAGTCTTGTTAAAAAATTCGTAGTAAAAGGTGTACAGTATGCCTGAATCAGCAACAAAATTGAATTGTCTCGAACTTAAATAATACAATTTGATATAGACATATGAACTGTCCACATTGTGTATTATTTAGTAACTGGATTTCAAATAAAATTTGTATAAAAACACTCGCACAGTAGTGCCGAGGGTTTTTTTTTTTTTTTTGTTTGTTTGTAAAAAAGTGTGTGTCTGAACATGGAAGTACTTTTCTTAAGAATTTAACATCAAGAACAACACCTTTTCTTTAAGAATTTTACATAGAGTGTGAAAAACCACTTGCTTCAAATCGGATTCGAATTGCCAATTTATGGTCTAGTTGGTTAGGGCGCCTGCATAGACAGCAGAAGAATCCAGGGCTTTCTTTTTTCACACTCGCTGAGTCCTTTTTTGTAAAATCCTGATAATGCTGACGATGATTCATACTTCGTGCTTTTTATGCTGTCTGTATAGGCCTATATTTGATTTTTAGCTCGCTTAATGAATTAGGCCTGTGAATTCGAACCGTTCGAAGATGCTGCCTTGTCTCCTCCTACAAACGACTAAGTACTATATGAAACGAGTTGATTGAGACGTTCGACCATGAAGTGATGAAAGACCATTTGCTGATAATTTTAGTAAGTAGGGTGGTGGTGGTGGTGATGAAGAGGAGGCAGGCATGGTTGTAGGGAATGGTCAAGTGTTCGGACAATTTACCTAATGGCGACGAAGAAGGAAACGAGTTGTATGGTTTCAAAGAGCGTAATGCTGAAATGGAGAAAACAAAAAAAATATTTTTTATAGCAGGCATCACGCATGAATCACAAAAGTTTAGAAAATAGAAGCTCAATGCGTTAGAATAAATTTCGCATTGTAGAAGGCAGCCATAAATGTAGCAAGAATAATAGTGTATGCTTTAAACCTGAATAATTATGGCGCTGCTGCAACAAGTTCAACAACATAAGACAATAGGCCTACTTGCGATGATACAACACCATCACGAAATGATTTGTATAGTTCGTAATTCTTCAATCCAAATTGACGTCATTGGCAAGTTTATCGCTGATACAAACTGCTTGTTTCAAATACGTGGCGACGTCTGCTCTGCTCTTTCAAGCGCATTCAAGTAAATAGCGCGTGTGGGTCATGCGACCGGGCATGTTTGCGCTTAATAGTCGAAAATATTATGATGGAGATAGATGTTAAGGTGCAGTCTAACAGACAAGCTGAGTGTACACGTGCGGCACGACGCCAGGGCTGCCATGGTAGATGAGGGATGCTATCTTGCGTTAGATGAAGACAAAATGCTTGTAACATGACCTCGGTGTTACTAGGCTTGCTTTTGTTTCTGAAGTGGAACACCTTGCAATACAACCGGCATTATCCTTTTTACCTGTTGGCTAAAGAAACCAAGCTAAAATCAGTGCATTGTCACTAAAGTAACATTGCACCAAGATCAAATTTGGTGATTGTTTTATCCCGAGCTGTTGCTCGCGTGCCTATTGTATGCAAAAGCGTTGTTAGTACGCACAGGTGCGTTCCACACGTGAAATTTGGCACCGCAACCGCAGTCGAGCAGTTAAACGAGTATTTGATTAATAACCTGATGAGCGTATTGTCTTAAGCTGGTAGCTTAACAGTTCAGGGCCACCATCCGCAAACCATAGCCCCACAAAGCCAAGTCCACGACCGGCACAGCGATTCTACCTTGGAGCTAGGTTCATTGTTGACATGCGGCAAATATTAACGTTACTAGTCGTTAATCCATGAATAGAAACATAAAAATGGCAGAAATAAAGAAAATACTTGAGCCAGCTGTAATTGCCATTTAGATCAAACTTTAGGAATATATCAGCCTTAATTAGGCCTATTATTTTCCTTCTTCGGCGTAGTCTCTGATAAAAACATATACAGAAATCAGGGCCTACATTTCGCGTTAATTCGTTCGAATTTTACAAAATGTAAAGAGAAAATAATGTTAAGCCACAGAATGTTTTCTAAAACCTACTTTTAATCCAAAGTTTAAATAAAAAACAGATGTCAATAACGTGAGACAGACACTTAATCACAATGTTTGGATAATTATACAATAGTATAGGCCTGCTTAATCATAAAAATCTACAATATTAAAGTATCAATTACATTAGAATTCTAGTTTGGGGCGATGAATAATAGGCCTAAGCCTGTGGTGAGATAACCGTTAATATGCTGCCAATCAAAATTTGGTAACTTTAAATGTGAATTTAAACATTAAAAAAAAACACATTATTTTTAATTAAGTCGCACATCGAAAAAAAAATTTCAAATATTTACAGGCATTTCACTATATATATA